TCAGATCCAGAGTGTTGCAAAAAAAACAAAGAGCCATTACATAACAATCACGTATAAAAGGATGTAGGGCACACGGACTTCAACAAATAGTAGTGCCAAAGGAAGACGAAAAAAAATGTGTTTTCAAAAACACTACACACAACTTAAGTGTCCTTATGTTATTTATGGCGACCTTGAGCCTTACAACGCCTTCAACTGAGGGTATCCAGGGCACCTATCAACATCATAAGCCATGCGGTTTTATGCTAAATGTAGTATATAGTATAACAAACGAAGCAATGCTGTATTGATACAGAGGCGAAGATTGATGGATAGATATTGTTCAATCATGGTTAAAATCAATCAAGAGATTATGGAGAAGATGAAGGAAAAGAAAAATATTGGTTAGACAGATAAGCAACGGGAGCATAATCAGAAAAAGCACATTGTTGTACAGGTGGAGGTAAATTCAAACCAAATGACCCAGCAAAACTAAAGTCGCCGACCCCTGCCACTTTACAGGACAATATAGAGGCGCTGCACACAACAATTTAGCTTATTATTTTCAAGTCATTGCCAGCCATAGGATCGCCTTAGCGAGTAGCTCTGCTGCTGCCGAGCAAGACGCATGTCCTGACCTTCGCAGCGCTTGGTCACCGAGCAGCGTGTCAAAGTCAAAGAAGTAAGTGATTGCCAGAACGAGATTTATAAATCCTACCACGAGAACAAGGAAGCAAAAGATGAACAAACCAAGAAAGTAATATTTTATCCGATGTTATGGATGAGTCTCATTGTGTATTACATATTAATATCCTCAAGTTTATTTAAAACAACGGTTGAACATACGAAGTTAATAGGGTGTTCTCATTCAAACAAAATCCAATGGTTAAAGCCATGGGTTGACTTTAGCACTGAGAAGAGACAACGAGCAACATCAGACTTTGAAAAAGACAAATATAAGTTAATTCACCACGCCGTATATGTAAAAGCGATGGAATTTGTAAGGGAACATACTAGCTTTGAACTAGTGGAAATGCAGGAATGATACGCTAAATGCGTTAATAATCCTATAGACACATTATCATAGAAAATTCAGTAGGAGTGGACAAGTCAACGTTAAAGGTCATTATGTAGGATTGAGCATTCTACACGAAAATAAGTTACACATGTATTCATTGTATTAAAATTTCCGAAAAGATAAGTATAATGAAAATGTTAGGTTAGTTTTTACAGACACTGAAAGTTTCTTTATACATATTAAAACCAAGGATGTAAATGATGACTTCAGTGGTTACGATAAAAAACATAAATACTATGACCCAAGCAACAAGAAGGTTTTACGTAAATTCAAGGACGAATGCGATGGCAATAAAAAACCACTTCATCGGACTAAAACCTAAATCTTATGTGTTTGAGGTTCAGAATGAAATCAAAGCACAAAAGAAATATTTGATGATAATTTTATGTTAATACAACAAAGTATACTAATCAAAGAAGAGACAAAACAAGTACAGTAGTTCAAAGTTTGTTTTCACGATGGTTAAAAAGTAAAAGACTAGGAATATTTTAAACATCAAGCTATATAACTATTTTTTATCTAAATATGATTATATAAGCTAGCGGCAACAAAAAACAGCAAGGTTTGAAATAGATAATCCTCATCAAACATAGGCTTTGGAAAGAAAACCTACCTTTAACGAAATTTTAGGTTTGTTAAGTGAAGGCAAAAAGTTATTAGGACCATTTCCCGACAGAACAGCAACTCAGTCTAGAATTTCAAACAAGGTAGTTTCTTTGATGGAAGCGACCATGGTTGAATTATTAAAGGAACTACAGAACAGAGTATTTGACCGACAGATGACAGAAATTATTAAGAAGACAAGCGCAACAACACGGAGGGATTTTAGCACGTTCGGTGATGAAAACACTTTCGATGTGTCGGGAATGAATACGCCATGTGGTGTAAGTTCATCAGAAATAACTTATCACGCAGACGCACAAAAGACTTAGAGCAACGAGCAAGACAAGAAGCACAAAAGCAACAAGAGGCAAGACAAAGACATGGGGAAGCAGCTAATCGGTTGAACGGCACTCTTGCACGAAACATGTTAAGGTCTGGGTTATACAATTTGCAAGGACTGCCAGAAAAAGAACCAGTAGAAGGAGATGTAACACATGAACAGTTCATACCAGCAGATGGCACAGTTAGACCCTACTAAAAGAACATATTGTATTTTAACGATGACATGGAAGCAATGAAAAATAATGAGAGTTTAGACTATAATGATATGCTTTTCCCACTTTCTATTAGAGAAGGTTGAGCGATGATATTAGCAAAGAGTTGAAGAATTACCAGATAATGTATCCAGAAAGATTTATTTAGGCCAATTGTTCGTCGGAGACGGAACAGGTGATAATAATTGGCAAATTGGTATTGAAACTAATCTTTTAAATGCTAGAAGTAAAGAATGGCGACAAGGTGGGAGAACAGGAATGTTGCGTCAGTTCCTCGCGAGTGCGGGGTCAGTGGTATTAAAGGCAGGTAAAGAAGTAGCAAAGGAAGTAGCGATAAGAGGCGCCAGAAGTGCTTTAGGTGTATAAAATATTCTACTTTATTAGTATGAATAGACGACTAAGTTTATATAAAGGTAAACTACCAAGAAGAAAAAGGAGGGCCTCCGATGATGACGTTTATGTTGGAGGATTGTTTGATCCCTTTTTAGACAGTACAGGTGGGGGGTTTGGCTTTGTGGTCTGCTCTGTCTTGGGATCTGCTGTGAGTTTTTTTTGGGGGGCTTTGGTCGTGCTTCGATGCTTGTTTTTTTCGCTTGGATGTTGCGGGTTTGGCCGGGTGCTTGGGGCGTTTATTGAGGGGCAGTTGGGCTTCGGGGTCGAGCTTCGGTTATTGGTTTTGTGATTTAGTGACGGCGCTTGGCGCTCGGCGCACTAGAAGAGAATGACATGTTGTCGAAAGTGAAGTGGTGGTATGGAGCACCCAAAGCCCGAAAATGCTCAACGTTGGAGGACTGGTTCCCTAAACCTTCAGCCCGTAACAACGCTAAAGGGAGTGATTGTCAGAAGCCTCAGGGTTCGCGGCATGACACTGATTTGATTTTGCGCCGTGTTTTGCAGCTTCTGTCGACTTGGGATCCCTCCAGCCTGAACCCCATGGTAGTTTCCTATGCTGCTCGGCAACAGTCTTTGAGGTGTGTCCTCGATGGGCTGGTCAAGAAGAGATGACGGGTCCCATCGTTCAGGATGCAGCCAACACGGCTGCCTTCGATGTCAAGGTGGTCCGATGAGATCCACGACCCCCAAAAGAATTGAGAGAAGTCAAACACCACTTGTGCCATCACAGCATTGCAGGTGGAAGGGAATGGGCAGGATCTCTTGACCTTCGTCGCCGTTTGTGAGAAGCTTGAGCGCCAGAGCCTTCAGCCCGTCTGGAAGCCAGAGTTTCTGCTTTACAAGAGCTCTTCAGGCACGGGCTCCTGGACGTGCGTCGAGGTCCATCTCCGACAGGAGGCCACGGCCGTCAAGTGATCATCTTGAGACCACGGCCCGACAGCCAGGTTATAGCTTTCAGCACAAAGCACGGGCAAGAGATTCAGAAGTACGTGAGGCTACGGTGCAAGGCCAGGGATGTTCCCGGCTGCCCCGTCTTTAGCCCCAATTGCCTTCAACCTCCTCTAACTTGCCACAGCTTCGTCCATGTAGTGCCGTGTCCAGTCTGTCCTAAACCATCGAACTCAGCAGTGAGTCTTGTTGAGACTTCGATGGGTTGACACCGTTGTCCCGTACCTCAAATCGATCCCTCCTCTGAATGGGCGGTATTGGTGGCTTTGCTGCAGCTTTTTGTTTCCAGGATGCTTCGCAGGTGGTGGTGCAGCATGGTGGTTGCCTCAAGGGTGCAGGATGCTGTATATGCTTTCGAGCATATGGAGAGAATCTTTTTGAGCAGTTCCCAGTTTGCTAGGTGAGCCTACTTCCCCCTCGGCTTCAGGCAGGACCGGATCAACAGGAATCGTTGCCCAGAGCTCTGTGTTCCATGTGTGCCCTGCCCACAGCCTGTTCTTTGAGAGGTTTGCTGGAGGAGCTCATAGAGACGAAGCCGCAGTCCGTCAGCAGACCCTGCAGGGTTGCCTTGGAATCAGCTGCAAGGCCAAGAGACAGTCCTGATTCGTGTTTTGCCAGGCTCGAAGGCTTCCACGCTTCCCTTGCTGCCTCCACCGCCATCCTCTGTTTGCAGCGCCGGGGTGCCAATGTTACCTATTCCATTAGGTCATTAGGTATTGCTATCCATGTTAGCAGAACCTTACTCCGAGCTACGTGGCAGCCGATGGAGGTCGCCCGCAAAGTGTGAGACCTCTTGTACATATAGATGCGAGGTGAACACGCCCTGGTGAATAGCCTGCTAGCTGGCATCGCGGAATGTTGACCTCTGACACGTCCTCGTCGACTCGTGCTCTCTCTGTGCTTCTACTCTTTAAATTGTCCAGAGGCCAGCTGCAAGTCTTAGAGTTAATGTCCTGGTGCGCAGGAAATGCACCATACACCATGCCAGTTTCGGTTTCGTGCTGTCTGCACGTTCAAGCCGAGACATCCGGCTTGGACGTGAATGGCTTCAGTTTCAGTCAACCGACTGGCACAAAAATAAATTGTAGGGCTGCTTCTTTCCTCTTTCACGAGGTAGGCGGCCATGTTTGAGCAACCTTGCCGTCGCCTTGTCTGCATGTTTGAACCCTTGGCTCAAGCACCGCAACATCCCAAAAACTTGTCATGCTAGCAGACCTCAACCGGCCGTCATTCACACTTGGCTAACTTCTCGGTGTATCGTCAATGCGGTGTTTCACTGCCAGTCTTTGTGCGGGCGAGGTTGCTCTGCATCTGTGCAAGCTGGCACGGCATGTGGAGCTGTCACCTTCTGCGTGGTGTCAGGTCTCGTGTGAAGGCAAGTGGTGGTAATTGGTTCGATATAGATGATGCAAACACCAACACAAAGGCGGGCTGAGCAATACTTTGCAGCAGCAGCTTCTGGGTTCGTGGAGCAGTGGAGCACTTAGGCAACCTCTCTTTCGCGAATGCCAGCTGGAGCACCGGCAGAGGCCGCAGCTGAAAGCTCTCCTGAAGACCTTGTGCCATGTCCTGAGGGCGGTCAAGAGAAGCACTGGGCAAGTGTGAAGGCTGATGCACCTCACAAGATGCAGAGCTCAGAGTTCACAGAGGAAGACAGGTTGCCACAGAGAGGCTAAGGTCATGACCCTGCCCACCGCCGAACTCAAATGAGGGCGTCTTACACCGCGCGGAACCCATGTTTCTTGGACTAAAACGCACCCAAACTGGTATGTGGGGATACAATCCCAGTCGCCCAGAGGCTTTGAGTGGGCAGCCACTTCAGTTTCCACCACCGGTCTGAACACTGCCTGATTGGCCTGCTTTCCGATTCTGGTCAATTCCTGTTGCTAGCGGCTGGCTGTCCATATTAGTTTCCGCATGCGCCACCGGGTATGAGCGCCCCCTGACGAGTCATTTTGGTTCCCTCATGTGTCCGCCACCGGGTCTGTGCATGACCTGGTTTGAAGAAGGCGTGGGCTATGGGCGTCGAGTCGGTGCCGATGTCTGCTTTCAGGATTCTTAGCAGTTCCTGTTGCTAGCGGCTGATTTATCGAGTCGTACTATCATCTATCTATCTATCTATCTATCTATCTCTCTGTCTGTCTGTCTATCTACCTATCTATCTATCTATCTATCTATCTATCTATATAGATCTATGTGTGTGTGTATATATATATACATATAATATATATATATATCCACAACTAGACCTATACCTACATATACATATATACACATATGTATGTATGTATGTATGTATGTATGTATGTATACGTGTATCTAAACCCTGAACCTTATATGCTTAGGGTTTTTGGGGTTTTCAAGCTTAGGGTCTCGGGTTCTAGGATCTAGGGTTTCGGGTTCTCGGGCATAGGGTTTCGAGCTCTAGGCATCAGGATTTAGGTTGGGTTCTCGGGCTTAGTTTTAGGGTTCTCGGGCGGAAGGGTTTGGGGGTTCTGGGCGTTTAGGGTCCTCGGGCGCTGGGGCCTAGGGTTCTGTGGGGGGCTTTTTTCAATTAATCGCTGCCGCGACTCGTGCAGTCACGCAGTTTTTTTGGGGGGTAGTTGGGTTTTCAGTGGACACTCGCGGTTTCGGGGTTTAGGGTTGCTGGGGTTACGAGCTTCTGGGTTTAGGTTTTTAGGGTTTCTGGGTCGCGGGCTTTCTGGGTTTGTGTGTTTAGGGTTTCGGAGTTGCGGGCTTCTGTGTCGAGGGGTTTAGGGTTTTTGGATTTGAGAATCAAGTCCAAGCGTGTCCCTACATGACTGTAGCTCACAGATATGATATACAGTTTTGTGCGACCATGGTCCGTGGTGCTTTACTTCATCTACCCAGTTTCTAGCATCAAAACGGCGCCCATTCAATAGAGCCTCGGATCTGGTTCATCTGGGCTGTAACCCGTTGCCAGACTTGTCTATTCTGACACATTGGAGGAAGTGTCCGTACAAAAGGCACAACAATTGGAAAACTGCTGCTTGAATTCCAGCGCAAAGCACTCCTGATCACAGTAGTTTTGGCTTCGTGATGCTCTGGGAAAATGTCTTGTAGGCCCCATCTTCAGCAGACATCAACTTGAGGCAGAGGCACGTTCCGCTGCAATTTTGTGCAGAAGCGCTGCGCCGTATTGATAGTTGAGCTTGAAGGACGAAGCTTGCTGGCGAGTGCGATGCCTACGAGGAGAGATCTTTCCTTCTTCGGCATGTCATGCAAGGTAAGGGCCGTGAGGCAAAGCAATGCATGAGCTTCCCTAGGCAGCTGCCCAAAGGCTACGCATGCCAAAGACATGTAGCTCTGGAGTGGTAAGCACTTCCAGGTCATGTTTTGGACTTGGGATAGTTTCACAAGGTTGAAGACAGTGCGTACTGCTACTGGGTTCGGCTACACCGCCGTACTGTCGTCAGAGTCCTGGTCTTACAAGGATTGTAGCTCTTCGCCTTCGATACATGACCCAGCATTAGAAGCTCTCACGAGATGTTGGAAGCCTAAATCCGGCGATGCCATGGATGATCTCCTTGCCCAGTTGAAGACGGCGAACCCTGGTGTTCCAGAGGAGGTGCTATGGCAATTCCTACAGCGGCGATTGCGTGGCGACATTCACGACCGCGACAGGTCTTGAGATATGGCTTTTGTTTGGCTTTCGGTGCCACATTTAGCACGCATTCTGCAGTGTTGTACAATCCAGGCGAGTATCCTACTTCCTTTCGTTCCCCACTGGATCGGCTGAATCACCTTCCTGCCGAAGAAGCCACAGCACAGACAGCAGAACCCAAAACAATTCAGCTCAAAATGCGCTGCCACTGCGGGAGGTGTTCTATGGACTGGGACGTTAAGACTCAGCACTTGAGTGTAACACGATGCTATTGTCCCGCTTGCCGCCACTTTCAAGCCAGTGCTTTCGCAGCCTACCTCGCAGTTTCGGTACCTCTTGAACTGACAGGCGGGTCGGCAGAGACGAACAGAGAGCAGGTGTGAAGAGAGCGGCTGCCTTTGTTCGTGCCACGAGGTGGCTACGTTCAGAAGCTGCGCGGGACTTGCGAAACCCTCGATACGGTAGAGAGGCGGGCTTTCGCGCCTGTGGCTTTCCGGTGTCTTGCCCTTTTCTGAAGGCTCCTGTGTTCCAAGTGCTTCACCAAGCTGGCTGTTTTGCCTCTTGGAAGACCAGGCCAGCATGTCCAAAACGTTTGTTTATGACCTGGCAAACTTGGCCCTGCTGAATTGGCCAGGCGAAATTTTGCTTTCTTTGGGTTCCGTGGCAGATAATTCGATTCCGGCTTGGCTGGCATCACGGTGGCAGACTTGTTTCGAAGAGTGGAGTCGGGATTCCGAGCCATTATGGTGGCGAGCAAGACCTGGACCATGTGCTTTGCCTCGTCGCAGCCTGCAGTTGCAGGGTGGCTGCGCATGTGGAAGATGTTCCTTCGAAGCAGAATTGCTTCCTGGCGAAGCGCAGCACTGCTACTGCAAGCTTTGCCGGCAGATGTCTGGTTCTGCCGCCCAGACCTGGCTTCCTGCACCCAAGGAGAGCTTTCGTTGGACACGTTCTGCTGCCCTGCAGCTGATGCGAACAACTGGCCACGGCCAACGGCATGTCTGCACGGCTTGTGGTACTGTGATGACCATTGTGTATGACTCCCAGCCGGACTGCATCTGGCCTGCAGCAGGCACGATTGATGATGCCAAGCTGAGAAAACTCGATGTGGGCGCAGGTCGCACGGTAGATGATACTGCTGATCCGATGTGGTACCGCGTGATTCACATCTGTTGTGCATGGATGCAATCCTGGTATCAGCTGCCTGACGACGGGCTGCCTCGGCTAAAGTTTGCTGGCTGATCAGGAAAAGTTGTGAGTGCCAAGCCCCGGGGCAGTCAGCAGTTTTCCTCTGAGAAGACCAGGTGCTGTTGTGATTTCGGCAGGACTTCCAAGCATCGTGTTCAGCGTGCAGCCACCTTCCTTGCCGAAATGGTGGGCGGCCGCCTGAGAATCCGTTCCGCCAAGATCCTCTGAACCCCAAACTCTCCTCAGGAACTGCACAGACCTGCCCGGATTCAAGTACCGGTGCAGCTGTGTGGAAGGTTTCCTTGGGGAGGCGGGAAGCAAGGCTATCTGTTAGGGAGCGACGGACGAATTGATCGGGCAGGATTGTTCGGAGACGGATGTTTTCGGGACGCAGAGGCGGCTCGACATGATGGAGGATTTCATTTGCAACTCTACACACGAAGTTTGACCGTGGCTCCTGTCAAGGTCCGTGTGCACCTTGACAACATGGTTCGCTTGGACAGTATGGCAGCAGATGGAGGATGACGAGCTAAAGCAACTCGAGGAGTGGAAGAAGCACTGATCCCAGTCGCGGAAAAGATCAGATGCAGATGCAACACTGTCCAACGCTGCACCCCAAACTGAGAGGACAGATCCGAGCTGAGCTCCTGTCATACGCATAGCCCCGGGCAAGGCCGGGCTCAGCTGAGGTGATGCCTTTAGGTTGCGAGCGGAGCTTCTGCAGGAGATGCGGCGCTGGGCTGGCACGCACCATGTTCTTTTGTGGCCAGAAGTCCCAACATGTACCAATGTAACTTCCGAAGCGGAGTTTGAACTTTACCATTCAGACACAAGATGGTCAAGCACCAACTTGGCAACCGCACGCTCATGCGCACGCACGCACGCACGCACGCAGACGCACGCAGACGCACGCAGACGCGCGCAGACGCACGCAGACGCATGCAGACCCACCCACCCACCCACACACACACACACACACACACACTCGCACACACTCACACACACTCACACACAATCACAGACAATCACACACACAATCACACACACAATCACAACAATCACACACAGACACACAGACACACACAGACACACAGACACACAGACACACACACACACACAATCACACACAATCACACACAATCACACACAATCACAGACAAACACACACAATCACACACACTCACACACACACACACAAAACAGACACAGCAGTCGCATGCCCCAAGCAGCTCCGAAGGAGTTGCTCGTTTCCATGGTGTACTTTTCTGAAGCATGTTTTCCATTGCTGCTCTTCCACACTTAGAAATGGCCCTTCAAGGGCTGAAGAGGCGTGCCATGCCTCACACGGCTTGCACGGTGTCGAGGTAGCCTCAGAGATGATCTTTCGAAGGCTGCGTGCAGCCGCGTAGCTTAAACTAACTACCTACACCACGTATGGAAATTCTGGGGTGACCTTTCATTCCTACGCCTTCAGTACGAGCGTCCGGCGAGTGCTGAGAAAATGCATGGCGTCAGCAACCTAGCAGTCACATGCAGTCACAGCAGTTGATTCTGCAAAAGCGAACTGGAACTCGGGTGGCTCTCTAGCCGGGGTGGCCTGGTGCTGGCCTGCCAAGTCCTGCCAAGGGGCCGTGCCTTGGATCCACGTTCAGACGTTCAGAGATATTCAGAGCAGAGTGCTTCACAGAGCCAAACTGAGCAGCGACCAGAGATCTGACACTGCCAGGTGCACTGGCCATTGGCTTGGCGCTTGTACATAAACTCAGGCATCACACAATGCTGATGTGTACTGTGACGACTGCGACTAGGAAAGACCTAAAGTGGCAGATGAGGCAGTTAACAGTTTCACAATGTTCACACAATGACAACTGACAGTCTCAGCTGCATGTAGCAATTCAGCTCTGCACGGGCCTCGTGTCGCAACGGCCTGGCACTCATCCACGGCTTCCTTGCAGCCGTTTCTAAACAGTGCATTCGGAAACTCGACCGACGGGTTTCAGGATTCGTGATGCAATGACCGCCGACCGGAAAGAGCCGGATGCCGGGCACGTAGGATTCGAAATCTTCCTCCGTCGACCCGTCCTGTGCGCAAGGCAGCCCAGCCGCCTGGGCCTGAACTGCACGCTGCCAGGTTGAGGCCACTGCCCTGGACCTTCGGCAATCCTGGGGCTCTGGATCTTAGCCCGAGGCTTTCTAGGCAGGCCCTAGACCATCCTTGAAGGCAGCACGCGGGGACGGCACCCTTTGACCTCGAGGCTCTCTCACGTTTCAAGATTTTCAAGTAGTGGCCCATTTGAAGATGAATTCAGGGGAATGCGACCAACGAATCTCCCTCGGCACCTTCAAGGCGAAAATGCCCACCGGCTTTGTACGCCCCAGAAGTGTTTGATTAACCAAGGCTCCACCAACTCGCAGAACCAGCCACTTCGCAAGAATCTGTCTTTCGAAGCCGGAATCCGTCGTTCGGTGCTCAGTAGGTGCTCCCACGTCGGTGTCACATGCGTGCGTGCCGGCGTGTGAGGTCTAACAGAAGTACCCGGTCTTGCCGTGACCCGGCTAAAGGTTGCCTTCGATGATCCGGTGAGAGGTCGGTTTTTGATTTGAGGTCGGCGGACCTGCAGATACGCTCGCCGTAGACATGGACAGAGCCGAAGTCGGCGTCGAAAGCCGTGCGCGATCTCAGACCAGTTCGTCTTTAGGTGGCAACTGAGACAGGGACTCTGTGCTTGACAGCTTGCTAAATTACTGTGCGTGTGTGTGCCACTTTGGATCAGGTCCAGGTGGACTCGCCATGAGGAGCGTCGGAGACACAATGGTCGGCGCGTTTCCACGTCAAGGTGTGCTCGTTTGCTCATGCAGAGTTCGAACATGTTCGAACAGAGCTTTGTGCGTTGGCCTTCCCAGGTCGAGTCGAAGCAGGACACGGAGACGGCGGCGTTCTGAACTCAATCGCAATATTCTTGCGACGTCACCCGTTCCCTGGTTCGTCGCATTCGTCGCCTTGAGGCGACCGTCGGCGAACTCGACGTTAGCATCCTCGGATTTCTGCATGGCATCATGGTCGGTGAGTGTTGCAAGCATTGAAAGGGAGAATCCGGTGCGGAGTCGATGTTGAGGTCTAAGCAAGCGTCGACGGCACGGCCGTGGAAGAAGGAGGCTTCGAACACTGGCTCACCCAAAACCTCAGCTCCAGCCAGGAACTGTGTATCCATGTGGAGCATTGCTTCAGCAGCTTAGCCCAAATTCCATGTGTGCTGACGGTAGTCGTTTGCAATGGAGCATCAAGGTTTGCAGTAGATCCGGTACTTTCCTTGTGTGACTGCTCACGAAAGCTCGCGTAGCAGGGCTGGAGTCTAGGGTTGCTTTTCGCAGGGAGGCAGTGTTGATTGTATCAGTTTAGGGCAGGGGATGAATTGAACAGTTCACACGGTTCACACGATTTCCCTGGTTTGGGGCTGGGAGGGGGAGGCTCGCCCCCTGGCGGGCCTTGGTTGGGGGGAAGGGGGGAGGTCGAGGGAGGGGTTGCGGGCGGAGCCCCCCGCGAAACGGTGGCAAATATTTGTGATTTTCCAACGAAAAGTGACAAATCCGCGCTATCACACACGGCTGAGCGACGTGAAAAAAATAAGATTCAATAAGATTCAATAAGATTTTTCCGGGGGATGCCACAATTGTATTGTTGACTTATAAGATTCAATAAGACTCAATAAGATTTAGTAAGATTCAATAAGATTTTTCCGGGCCGATTTGGCAAACAGCCGCGCCCCCACACCCCCCCACCCCCCCCCTTCCACCCCCCACCCACCCACCCACCAACCCACCCACTACCTCTACATGCCCAAACCCCCTAGACTTGAAACCCTCAAGCGTAAAATGCGGGTTTGGGGTTTAGGTTTAGGGTTTTAGCGTTCAGGTAGGGTTTTAGGGTTTAGGGTTTAGGTTTAGGGTTTTAGCGTTCAGATAGGGCTTTAGGGTTTAGGGTGTTAGGGTTTTAGGGTTTAGGGTTTCAGGGTTTAGGGTTTAGGGTTTTAGCGTTCAGGGTGTTAGGGTTTAAGGTCTAGGGTCTAAGGGTTTAGGGTTTAGGGTCTAGGAGTTTAGGGTTTAGCCTACAGGGGTTTGAGGTCTAGGTTCGGTTTAGGGTCGAGGGGTTTAGGGTTTAGGATCTAGGGTTTTAGGGTTTAGGGTTTTGGGTTTTGGGGTTTCGGGTTTCGGGTTCAGGGTTTTAGCGTTCAGGGTGTTGGGGTTTGGGTCCAGGTGAGGTTTAGGGTCGAGGGGTTTAGGGTTTAGGGGTCTAGGGGTCCAGGGTTTTTAGGGTTTATTGTCTAGGGGTTTAGGGTTTAGTGATTTAGGGGTTTAGGAATTAGGGTTTAGGGGTTTAGGGTTTAGGTTCAGGGGTTTAGGGTTTAGGGCTTAGGGGACCCTAAACCCTAAACCGTAAATCGAAAAGGATCTCTGGGTTGCAGTTAGGGCGGGCGGCTCAGTGAGTAGATAGGGTCTCGGGGGTACCCCAGAGAACCCAATACCCCTTAATTAAGGAATATACCTTAGATTATAGGGGCCTTAATTACTATGATTTACGGCATATTCCTCCCTAAACCCTAAACCCTGAACCCTAAACCCTAAACCCTATATAAACCCTAAACCCTTAATTAAGGGGTATTGGGGATTCTCTGGGTAGGGAAGAGGGTTTCTTGCCTTAGGGTCGAGGGCCTAGGGTTCAGGGTTTATAAGCCTTCTCTAGCCTTTCAGGATGAAGAGGATTTCAGGTTTTGGGGCTTCGGGTTTAGGGTTTAGGGCTTCGGGTGTTGGGTTTAGGGGGTTGGGCTTAGGGTTTAGGGTTTAGGGTTTAGGGTTTAGGGGGTTGGGTTTAGGGTTTGGGGCTTAGGGTTTTGTGTTTAGGGCTTAGGGCTTAGGGTTTTGGGTCTAGGGTTTAGGGCTTAGGATTTTGGGTTTAGGGTTTAGGGCTTAGGGTTTTGGGTTTAGGGTGTCAGAGGCTCATTCTCTCGTGCCGGGTCCACCTGAGGGGGCAGGGTCACGTTCGCCGTGATGGGCACGATCCTGCCCGAGGAGTCCCAATGCTTAGAGGCTCAGGTGACATGGTAAGTACTTCATCAGTAGACCCTAAACCCTAAACCCTAAACCCTAAACCCTAAACCCCTAAACCCTAAACCCTGAACCCTAAACCCTAAACCCTAAACCCCTAAACCCTAAACCCTAAACCCGAGGAGATGGCGCTGTCCTGCATACACTCCAGCATGATCTACTATGTAAGGACTTCCGGTAGAGCCCACGAGCTTGGTTTTCGCGAATGATAACCGGGTTCCTACAGTCAGAGGTGTTTGTGGCTTGAACGATCCCTTACTTAAGCTTAAAGTATTGCACTCCCAAAAAGAGGAATAAACAGAACCTGTCCCGAAGAGACACATAGCAGAGGGTACTATCAGTTGAATACGGTCCTTGTGAGCTTTATATGGCCTCTTCGCGTTTTGTCGGGTTGCACAAGCTCTTGTCAGGAGTTTACGGGTGTCTACAACAAGCCTTTTATGGATCCAACTGCCCAGAGTAACAGTAAGCAAAGCCATACCCTAAACCCTAAACCCTAAACCCCTAAACCCTAAACCCTAAACCCATGAAGTACTTCCACATCGCAGGTTCCCTCCGACGCGTTGCAGGTCAGTACAGGGCAGATTCCATATCTCGAAGATGATCTTAGATTAACCTATGCTTCCAAGGACCGACCCTACAGTTAGGGCCCTGGACCCCTTAAGGACCCAATACGGTCCTTGGAATCATAGGGTTACACAGGAGGTATGGGGGGTCTGCGCTAACTTCCACTCGTGAGACCCGCCACAGGGGACCGCCGTAACTCTTGTTAACGACCCTACAGCGCAGACTCCAAAAGCCTACACTCCAAACCCCTTATATAGCCGTAAATCCATAAAGACCTAATCACCAAAACTCCAAAACTCTAAACTCCAAACCCCTTATATAGCCGTAAAACAAAATCACCAAAACCCTTAGCTCCAAAATCCACGGTAATTCCAAGATCTGCAGGCGCCTTCCACCCTGCCTGTCCGCGTTCTTCGGAGCGATAACCTGAATTTAGGGGCACTTCGGCAAACCTTAAACCCTAAACCCTAAGCCCTAAACCCCTAAGGCCCTAAAACCCTAAACCCTAAAACCCTAAACCCTGAACCCTAAAA